ACTCGCTGCATCCATCCGTCAGGATTAAATATTCATCACCAACTCCAACACACACGAGACACATGACATAACATGCCAAACAGCACGACATCCCATAATCTCAACAACAGGAACCAAAAGACGTATTGTAATAAATGATTTTTTGCTATAAACCTTTTTAAACTTTGCGCTAATACGGTGTATGTAATGTATGTACATACATGTATCTATCCGACACAGACACAAACACAACGGCGGGTACCTGAGTTCTTATTATGTGCGACCAAAAAGAACGCGAGTTTCCATCCAGATCGTGGGAAGAAAGAAGAGCTGGTTGCCACCTGATGATATATATACGTAGCAGATTGCGTAGCACCCGCGTCCAAGGGCTCGGTAGAATACACAAATACCAGATTCGAGGGGAGATTTGTGGAGAGAGGCGGCGGCAAAGTACACAGTAAACGCCAGCTGCTCATCTATCGTCGACTAGTTACAAAAAAAATTAAAAAAATTCCTTCGAATGGATAGGGTATAGAAAAGTGGTATCAAATAAGCGCAGATCTTGGATGTGTAAGCGGTGACAAAGGAAAAAGGTATCAAAGGAAAAACAAGTATCAAAATAAATCAGCAACAAACGCCCTTCTCTCCAAGTATGTCTTGCGATAGTTATCCGTCCGAGGAACCCGCCTTGTCATCCTGAACGGTCGAGCTCGTCTGATGCAAGCTGAATTGACGTTCGAACCTCGCAGAAATGGGCTCCATATGGGTAAGATCCAGAGTGGGCCAGGGTGCTTGCTGGTACTGTGGTTTCTGCCAGGCGTTGGATTCGGATAACGGGTTCCTGACATGTGGTTCAGAACAGCAAGACGACATTGCCACGAATTCCGGTTCGTCGGGTGACATGCAAGCGCCCAGGTCCTTGTACGAAGTGATGAAGACGACGTATTTCTCTCTGGACATGAACGATCTCATACGCCCCACGACGAGTGATCTGGGACGGACCTCGACGATGTATTCCGTGGGACAGCAGGTGCATCTGTGTATCTTGGGTGTGAAGTTTTGTGCCAGGTTACTGCCCCTGTCTCTGGCTGCCTTGGACGCGCGTCTCAAATCCTGATAGATCGAATGGTATGTGGTCCCGTTGATATCCACATGAGGGCATACCCATGATATAGGGTAGCAGTGGGTGCTGGGATAGCGTCTGAACCCGCACACACTTATGTAGTGCCTCTGTCGGACCAGAAGGCGATCGTCGGCGGCGAGTGCGAATGAGTCGAAACTCCACGAGTGGGCACTCTTGACTACGTTGTGATTCATCAGACACGTATTTCCGTATTCCGGCGATAATCGAAATCCGCGCATCACTTTGTGGAAGTCCGGCCATGAAAACCCTAACCCAGACGGCACATTGGGTACCCATGCCTCTGCGACCTGACGCGTCTGCCTGAGGCAGGGAGCGTCTTCCAAGGGCTCGTTTTCCTCTGATCTGTGATACCAACGTGGGTGAAAGACTCCGCAATTGTAACAGACGAGTTCGTTTGGGTGGTGCTTATCAAAACAGAGTAGGAGGAATTTGGTGCGCTCATATTGCATGGCTGGTAATCGTAATCTCTGAAACGGATTCGCAAACTCGGTGACGACGCCGAACATGGCTCTGTTTGTGAGGGCTAGTGTAGCGATAGCATGGCCGGGCAAATGTTCCATGATCGAAAGGAATATGTCGATTGGGAGATTGTTCAAGCAGGTTGGTGCTGAGCTTTGCGCATTGATCGTAACTCTTTCTGGCCGGGTCCTGGGGATGTCCTTCTCGACGGGTGTGGATGTGGGTGTGGGTGTGGCTGGAGAGCGGGAGGTTTGGCGGCGGATAATTTGCCAGAGTAGTGATTTTGCCATATTAGCAAAAGATCTAGCGATTATGTCGTTTGGAGGTATGTTCGAAGTATCCGCAGTGGCTGTGTGGGAAGCAGGAAGTGCTTGTGTTGGAAGCAGGAAGTAGCCGTGTGAGTAGCAAAAAGGCGTTTGTATGAGAAGCAAAAAGGTGTTTGTGTGAGTAGCAAAAAGGTATCCGTGTGCGAAGCCGAAAGTGTCTGTCTGTTTTGGAAGAAGAAGAAAAAAAAACTACGACGAGACACCTCTACTTATATATAGACGGGGGAAATCTTTTTCCCAACGACAGCCGTGCTTTCTCCAAATGTAGGGAGATCTGAGATCTCATCCACGGTATAGATGCAAACAATGGTGCGAGTACCACGGAAACGCTCATGGGGGATGACGAGAAAGCGACAAGTAGCAAGGGAAACGATTACATTAGATATTATCTCACACCCACTCATTCGTTGGTAGGTTGCTTCCCCATTGTTGGAGACGGCTGCCGTCCTTGGGTCGCGAATGTAATAAAATTTGGTCCACGGCATCTACAGTCGTGCGAGTGGACACGGAGAAAGTGGTGAGTGAGTAGCAGGGAATGATTAGATGTGGGCACCTACTCATTGATAGAATGTTTCCCCGTTATTTGAGACGCCATTCTTTGGAGGTTGTTGTTGCAGTACTCGGGCTTGCATTTCCACTACATCGTCGAACCCTGCGTATCGACCATTTCCGCCTGCCAACCACTTGATGCCGCCTCGAACACGGACGAGTATACACGTGGATAGGATGACCAGAACCGAGTGGCTTTCTGTGAAGAGGTTTAGGACACATTCCACTAATAGGGGACCGACCCCCGGTTGGGAGAAAGGGCTGGGAGAAAGGGTTGGGAGAAAGTTCGCAACCACGTACTGCAAGTCCACAAGCGGGTCCGGCCCAATCCTTCTCAGCAGGAAAAAACTTGTTCATCTGACAGACCCACGTCTCTCGCGTGAACCTCTGTCCAGCTGTCGTAGCATCTGCGGCGCTCTGCCACGTTTTCTCATTTCCTTGTAGCCCACTAAGATACGCTAAGACGCCCACGCTTGCTGCTGTTGCCAAGAGATTTACAACGAGCAGAACCCAGCTCCATGCCCTCTGTCGTCTCGGGGACCCCTCTATCCGTCGCAGCTCCCATATGTATTCCGCACGCCGCGATGGCAGACACCAAGACCGCCCCAGCACATATACCCAGAATCGCAAGCGCAGGTTCTATTCGTATGCGTACAGCGACATCGATCGAGTTGTTCGTAGTTGGATCTGAGAGGGAAATGACGGTGTTGCGGCTCCGCCAATCGCGCTCGGTGTGTTGATGGAAGAGTATGCTGGAGAAGCGCTCGAGTGCGACGATAATAACCGAGAGAGGGAAGAGCATGAACACTGGAGGTATGATGAGCAGGATAGATAGTGCGGAGGCCGCTGGGATTGCCCATCGTGAAGTGTCGGCCCGAATCGGGGACGGATGCGGTGATAGATTCGTACTGAACAAGGAGGGAACGATAGTTGGTAGTACGGGAGACAAGGCAAAAATCAAAAGAGAGACCGTGTAGGAGCGCACACGATGTCGAGTCACCGTCCAGTCGTCGCGCTGTTGGGGAGGCACTGAGAGGATTGATTATTATGCAATTGGGGGCCGTTGAAGGATGCCGTGAGGCTATGCGCTTGGCTCAGAGGATCGCCGCCGGCTTACGTCTCGCTAAACTCACCCCTGGACGTTTACTCCGACCTCATGCTTCAAGTGGGCCCCAATTCTGCTTCACCATCTACACAGTACTTACTGCAAAGCGAAGACAGTTTCTAATTGCCTCACAACAGTAGTATATCTAGGACTGATTCTCAAAACTCAACCAATTCAAGCAAGATCCATTGGATTGAAGCAAGGTCCATTGGTCTAGTGGTATGATTCTCGCTTAGGGCAAAACACTAAGCACATTTGCGAGAGGCCCCGCGTTCGAATCGCGGATGGACCCTAGTTTCCTTTTTTGCGTTTTCTTTTTCTTTTTCCTGACTGACTGAGGAAAGAAAGGACACAGGCGCTGAACTGGCTGTACCCTCAGGGTAGGTAGGCAGGGTGTTATTACATAATCAACCTTATACATTATAATCTCAATGGTAGACAACATACATACAACTTGTGAAGGTGTCTATTCGCTATTCTATCCAAAGTGTCATCATAGTGATGCTTCTTCAAAAACGAAAAGGATTAGGCTTTAAAAACCATAATACTGTCTCGTTGTAAGTTTTATGCAAATCAAGTCTGGAATAAGATCACCATGCATACCAAAGCATTGTACAATGTTAATATCGAAGTTGATATTCTCTTTCTCAAACATTTCTGCAAGCCAACCTTGGTGATCAATAAAATCATCATTTCCGTGCCGGTCAGCCACGATGACATGCAATCTGATATCCCGAAAATATGGTAATTCGCCTCTGATCTGTATACAGAGTATGTCTGCAAAGCGTCGAATGTAATCTTTGACTTGCGCAGCCACCGAGTTGATATCAAGCGACTCAAGTCCTCGAGGAATAAATGTGGGGGCTTGGACCTGTCCGGGTACTATTAGTTCCTCGTTCTCGCCAAGCAGGGAGATGGGAATACGCAAGCTTCGAAGTTTGGTGAGTTGTGAAACAGTTGCTATTGTCCTAATTTCTTCGGGAGAAAGGGGTCGATAACCATAGTGCAAACCAAGGTATAGAGCTTCCAGAGTCTCACCATGGCTCAGAAGTGCGGGAACAATCTGAACAAAGTAGTCTTCGGAAATTTCCACTTCGTACATTCGTGTACACTCAAACTGCTGTAGTTCTTTGCAAGCTAGAATGGCCTTTGCGATGATTTCGGGGGGGGGACAAATGGACATCGAAGCGAGAGCTTCCTTATGCTACAAGTTCGTTCTAGCCAGTTCCAAGGAGTCCCAAAGACAGTAGCTTCGTGTCGAGCCTTGAAGCACCTCTGCCGACCGTCCCACTCCTGACCCCAGTACCAGAGCGTGAAATCCTCCAGCAACGGCAACAGGAAGAGTGGCAACATAGATTCGAGAGGTTTGTCCGTTCCGTACTGGACATGTTCGATGCACAAGACTTTGAGCGATGAGAAGTCGTGTACTTGGCCGATGTGGTGACCTTACGCGACGTGGTTCAAAGGTTGGATCCAGAGCGGTTCCTGAAGCTTCATGAGAGGGTTCTTCAGGCCCCGGATGAATAGTTGTTCCAAGTTGTGCGCAAGATAGATAAGAGGGCCGATCACAACATCCTCGCCATTGCGCAGTCTATGAAGCATCTCCTCCTGCATCGGCAACTCCAGTTCCTGAGCCAAGGGCACAATTCTATCGTGAAGGGTTGTGAAGACTGTATCATCAACATTGAAAACATTGTTCTCCGAGATGCCCTCGTTTATTCGAATTGTTTTCACATGTTTCCTTAGATCGGGACGGCGGGACAGCGTGTCGAGCAAGCTTGACCACACGAGCGGATTCCAACCATGTTCGTCGATAACAGCATATAGCAAAGGTGTAGCTACGCGGTTGAACCTTTGAGAAACGAGACACACTTGGTGTAGATGGTCAGTGCCGTCATATTTGGGTGATTCGAAGTACTCGATGTGAGTGGTTGGCACACGTTCGAAAATATGTAACAGCAACTCGTCGGGTAGAGTCTCCATGAGATGCAGGTGAAACGCAGAGTTGCGAGAATGAATCTGTGACGCGATATGGATGGTGGTTGTTTGGACCTGGGAGAAGGAAGGCGGGCGGCTACGTTTTTAGCGTGCTTGAGACCTGCATGTCACGCTAACGCCAGCCTCAGCCTAGCGTGTTCTACCCCTGGCCGTAACGGGGGGAAATGAGTGACTTTTGAGATTTAGTTGCAGTTGTATATTTGAAGAGTTGTGACTGATTCGAGACCTCATATTACAATTATATTGGTATGCGGCATCAAACGGACCGCTGATAAGTAAAGACGATTCACTGAAAGTAAGTGGTATTATTATACGCTATTCTATTCCACTAAAACCCTTATTGTCTATCTAATGTGGACTTCTGCGTCTTGTTTACTTCCCAATCATTCTTTTCCGACAGTGCGTAATTCAGATTACCAAGATTAATTCCGCAACTAGATGCACACAATATCCAAACTTCACAGCAATATTCCGAAGACGTGTAAGATAATAGACTTGATGAAAAGCTCGTCGTCTACTATCAGATCATACGTATCCCCCCCCCCCTCCATAAAGAGCGATATGATGGAAATCTCCCAAGGTCGTACAAGCTCGGGTCACGATTAAAATGAGCATTTGTTGAGACCTATAGCCCTTGAGGGCCCGTTTTCTTTTCCAACTTTATAGATCCTGACTGGCCAATTGTATGATCGAACTAACGGCTCATACATGGACACCTAGAACGGTTATCTCGCCATTCCGTGAAATAATAGTCATATCACTGAAGTGGAGCGGTAGCGCCGTCAATTGTGATAATTGGACAAGTCCGTGGAGCCTTTTGACAGGCCATGTCAGCGCTCCCGTGGCCGAAGAGCCGAGATTGAGAATTACATCCAAGTCTGGGCGCAAGAAGAGCCACCATTTCCATTGAAAGGTCCGCTTCCTGTTCCGGTTGTCGAGTTGAATGTTATGCGGCCATTCGCTTCTCCTTGGATACACACTCGACTGATTCGTAGGCAACTTGCATTTCGTACGGGGAAAGCTTTTCAGTCTTGTTTGCACTCAATCACACACAGTGTAGAGCATTGGTGCAAGCGATGCGGTTGAACTTTCGAGACACAAGACAGGGTCAGATAAGAACCTGCGTCGCTTCACAATGAGCTGGTCCTTGAGGCGTGATAGGAGTTCCAAGGTAATGCAGGGTCTTGCAGATCAGCTAGTTCAGCGGCTACGAGCATAAGAATATTGGGGAATGGTGGAGATGCATGTGCCGTGTACATGGTCTAGTATCGTGCCGGTGAAGGACAAGAAAATCTCTCTTCTCTCACATACGACAAAGCACGATGTTGACTTGTGTTCAGATGGTCTAGATATCTCGTTGAGCGACCAATCTGGCCATTTGAAAGCACAACAACATGCCCGAATATTGTAATCAAGGAGAAAGTGCAAACAAACAGCGATGCATCATCCATAATCAAGTGCAACACGTCCAGTGGAAAGTATCAAGACCTTACGAGTAAAAGGTACAGAGCCGACTAGGCTAACAAGTGGGGCCGTTAGCCAATCGCTTGAATAAATCAATCCAGACCCTAACGCGAACAACGCACAACATGACCGAACCGTCTTGAACATGATTGGTACCTACTACGTAGATTTCGTGATGCGTAGTGCATTCATTGATCATGCGGGCAGCCGGGGGGGTTGGCGCCTCCATTATTTCATACTCTCTCGTACGTGAAGGTTGGTTTCGTGCAGGCTGTCAAGTTTTCGAACCACTTAATTCCTTTGGCCCCCCTCCAAGCTCGAATATGTCGCAATGACATTTGGTTGAATAACATGGGGTTCGGATCTGCGCCGCAATGTGACAACATGGCCAGGGAGTTTGATTGGTTGAAGGAAATTCACGGAGACCCCACCCTGCAAGGTACCGAGTGGTTTGCATGAGCGCTTAGGTATGTATGTGCCCTCCCTGCTTGTTGTTATCTTGAAGAAATATGCTTCAAAGTTGATATTCCAGATGCGGTATTATTGGGACAATTAAAATTTCTTGCACAGAGAAGGGAGGGTCCAATCTATGGGTCATGGTTACAGGGGCGACGGATGTACGGTTGTGTCGACGTCGGAGGAAATCGTACGAAGAGGACGAAGCTCGAGAAGCACTCTACAGTCCCATAACCAATATCCTCAGAAGCAACTTCCTAACTATCATCGACATGCCATCCCTAGATTTTCTGGCAATCAGAGCAGAGCTATGTCATTATCAAGTCTCGGGGCACGTATACTAATCATTTCTTTAGAATGCACGCGATAAGTCGAGTACCTTTAACAAGATCTTTCAAACTTACAAAAGGTGACCTCGCACCAGAGAAAGATTCCCAACGGTTACAACTTGATAGAAAGCGATCTCGGGTAGGTCAAAAGCCTTAACAGTTGTCCTGAAAGGAAACCATGTTCTATGACGGACTCCTATATCAACGTCAAACCTGCACGCGTGAACTATTGCAGGACTTGGAAGACAATATCGCTTTTCACATAGAGATTATGGCTACCATTCCAATAGTGCTCCAATCCCATATCGTAGTTTTGCAATCGACACGAGAAACCCCATCGGTTGAGATTCTGGAGAGGTTGTTGTAACGTTATCGTCCCCTTTCCCACGGCTGTGTAATTGCTGATTGATTGATAGATATAGATTCTGTTGAACAAAGTGCATGGACTCTCCAGACACCGCGAAGTAGGACCGGCAGTGGATCCCATTCACTATGTTTGATAACGTTCCAGGATAGGATCTACCAGTTATACTGACGCTATTGGAATCCCACACACTGGACGAATCCCTAAGAAGGCCGAGTATCATTACCACACCTCAAGAGCTATGTACTTTCATTCTCAATACCATCACAGAACGAGATCAGATTGTTCGACATACACCAACTCCCACTGTTCTTCGCGGTGTTTATTCCTTCTTCTATGGGCGTAGGTACCCGAAACAAGTAATCCCTTCTTCCACTCCATGGAGTATCATTTATCCACCATATAATCACCAAAACACATACGCCATTCGCCCGACCCAGTCAGTCAGTCAGTCAGTTCAGTCGATTCCACATAATCATCACGCACGGAGTGCGAAGAAAAAAACATCTCGGTTAACCTCCAATCATGTCTGAAAGATATATCTATCTACTTGACGTAGTATATTTAAAAACCCCAGATTCACCATATCGATTCTTTTACATACACGGGAGGGAGTGTGCGAATGATATTGACGTGATACCATTTGTTCCTCTCGGATTCGAATTCAATTCAATTCAATTC